TCCAAGACTCATTCACTTAGTCGAGCGAGCTCGAGCCTGGTTTGATAGAGGCGTGAGTCTAGTTTGAGAATCAAATATTCAACTCGACTCGGCTTAATTAACAGCACTAACTAGATGGAACTCTCGACCTACTGTGCAAAAGAACTCTAGAAGACTCTCCCCGATTATTGGATAAAAACCCAATGGTTATATACATTAATTCTTATCAATCATGGATTTAATTACCATATAATCAATCTTGACCATCAATTCCTTGATCTAATGCTTGTTCTTGCCTCAATCTTTAGTGGCTTGGTACGCACCATTTTTATTCTTTTTTTATTCCCTTTTTTCTTTCAAAAGGATGGCTCAAGTTCTAACACTGGACTTGGGCCCTAAATCTAAGGATCATGATTGGCGACCATTGGACACAATTCATGGATTGGGCTAAAGCATTAATACTTTCCTTCTAATTTAACTGCTCTATTAATTTATTTTTTCTCCAAGTTAAATGCTTTTCAACAGGTTATGCCAAATAAAAAAAGTAGTACTAACAATTAATCAAATCTCAACCATGAATTTGTCAAGGTCAAATATGGCAAATCTCTCATCCTCATTTTCTCAAATTTCTGGTATAGTAGTTTGAAGTTGCTGGTGTTTCAATTTTTCCAATGACCATTTTCTGGTATATTTTCTGGGCATTTTAAGGATGATTGTCTGTCTTTATTATCGTGAAATTAAGTCATGGGTCTTCTGTTAAGTAAAAGTCAAAAAGGCCCACGAATAACTTGGTCTTTTTCTTTTGTCGGATGGAGTTTATTTTGAGCCTCAAATTTAGCCAAAAAATTCTACAAAAAGTTATTATCTGTAGCTGCAGACAATCTCCTCCGCTAATGGCATTCAATAATTTCACCAAATTTCTCCTCCAAATGTATTGGACTTCTTATAAGGGTTGTTGGCCACAAACTTAAGAACAACTTTAAAAACTTTTCTATCAAAAAGAAAAAATTAAAAATTCCAATTCAAGGCTGATTTAGAACCTTTGCTTTTGAAAAGCAAAACCTCGGTCAAATTTATTTATTTATTTATTTTACATCTACTTACTCCATTACCAAATATTAGACAATGAAAACATAATAAAAGTAGAACATGAATGCTTGAGTTCATGTAATTTGATTTTTTTTTTCATAAACTGATACTTATACTGCTAATGTAATAAAAAAAAATCAAAATATAGATTCATATTTCGGATTAATAAATTGTTACACTTAATTTTATTTCAATAAGTGTTTAAATTATTTTTAAAATAAAACATGTCAAAGCACCTTGGATAAGGTAAACATATAGCATAGCACAAATAAATAAAACAAGATTAAAAACATGTAATGTCTTGTAGCGGAGTAATTAAATCAAATCTGCATAGAATTTATTCCATTCACACATCTAAATATTTTGTTTGGATAGTGCTTTTATCCCAAATAATATTTCGCTTGCATCATAAACACATTTTCCAACCCATCTTTTTATTTTCTCAATCACATTTTTATCTTACATATATCACATCACAAAAAGTGCTACAGTAATTATTTCAAATAATACACTATCCATTCTGAATTGTGTACTAGACACTAGAATGATAAAAATTTTTCATATCACATCAAGTAAAAAAAAAGTATTTTGGGTGGAAAGGTGCCTTTATTATGGGCATTTTGGCATACCAAAAGCGGGGTTACTTTATTATTAATAGATCATCACCCAACTTCCAAAGAATATTACCAATTGATCCTAGGCATTAGGTTAGACAAACAAACCCAATAATCCATGAAATCATAGGTAAAATTACTGAAAAACCAAAGAAATAGCACAAAGTAAAAAAAAAAAAAAATAGAGCCATTGTTTGATTTTCCCAAAATAACCCTCAAACAATAGTGGGCATAAGTAGCCTTAATTAATTAATCTATGTAATATACTCGACCATCATTGTGAATCTCATAATTACCCCAAAAAGATATTGAAATGTACTCTGTTTCATCACTTGGAAATTGGAAGACAGATAATAAAACAATGATGAAGTGGAATATTTTTGCATCAGTGAGTTGTTACGTTTTAATTAGTTGAATTGAGTGTCTTTTCCCCTTTTTCGTCCAAAAGCATCAAAGAGGGGAATGTGATTCATCCACAAACAAACCACTGGGCCTTTTGCTCAGTGGCCACCACCTACTTGGTGAGGTGGGAACCTTGCCTCCTACAAAAAATGTCACATTTTTGTGACTTGTCTCTAAAAAATTCAGGTGGGTGTGCTATGCATCTGTCTGGTTTGGACTGGTGGTTCAGTCCCCTCCGGCTTATCCCTGAACCTCCTTAGGTGCGCTCCCTTCTCCTTAGTATAGGATAGATTAGGTTTATCATCTCCGGCAAAAAAAAAAAAAAAAAAAATTCATCCACAGACAAATTATCAATACTTCATAAGGCAAATTATCCATTTGGCCCTTGAACCTTTAGTCTAAGTAAAATTAAGTCCCTTAACTATTTTTGGTCAACTTTGAGCCCTCAAACTTGTAAAATTGGGCACCGTGACCCTTTTGCCAATTTCTCCGGTTTTGCAACCGGAAGGGGAATTCACACGAATGGCAGTATGCTTTTAAGAAGGGCATTTTTGTCCGCATATTCTGAGCAAAAAAGGAACAACTCCTCTCTCTTCCCTCCATGGACTACTCCTACACCTACGACGACCTCATCTTCCTCCTCTACTTCATTGACTTCTCCACCGATGCCGTCTCCCTCTCCTCTCCTCTCTCCTACAACCTCTCCCTCACCCTCCCATTCGTCTCCTTCCCTATGGACACCATCTCCGAGTCCTCCATGGCTTTAGCCATGGCCTCCCTCAGCGAAGTCACAGTGAAGCCCTCCATCTCTGAGATCAAAATCTCCTCGCTCAGCTTCGCCCTCAGCAGCCCGTACAGCAGGCACGTGAAGTCACAGTGAAGCCCCTCGTCCCGCGAGATCAGCTCGTTGGAGAAGGTCAAGCCCGGCATCAGCCCCCAATTCTTCACCCAGAATATGGCGCAAAAGCTCCCTGAGAAGAATATCCCCTCCACGCAGGCGAAGGCCACCAGGCGCTCCGCGAAGGACTCGGAGTCGTCGATCCAGTGGAGGGCCCACTTGGTGCCATCAGGTTTTCGTCTAGTCTGCACGAGCTGAAGAATGAGAGGTCGGCGAGTACAAATATCCGAACCTCTGGGCAAGAAATCTCTTCTGACTAGTGCCTCCAGAACACTGGATTTTCCACTGCTCTGGCTTCCGACGACCGCCACTTGCGACAATTCAATTGTAGACTGACTGGAGAGCTACGCGAATATGTCTTGGAGCTTGTTGACGATCGGAATGACCGAGCTCCCCAACGGCACAACACTACTATTGGATTGACTGGCCAGAGACGGAGACGCAACGGTGTCATTTACTGGTTCCTCAACCATAGATGGACTGTCGTCGGCTGAGAATTGAGACCAATCAAATCAACTGTGCATTAGCTACCGTGTTCTACTGTGTGTGGAAGAGATCGAAAGAGGGGAGTACTGAAACCCTAGCGTCGCGCGAGTTTTGAATCTTTTGACAAAAATGCCATTTTTCAAAGCATACTGCCATTCGTGTGAATTCCCCTTCCGGTTGCAAAACCGGAGAAACTGGCTAAAAGGGTCACGGATACCCAATTTTACAAGTTCGAGGGCTTAAAGTCAGCAAAAAATAGATGAGAGGCTTATTTTTACTTAGACAAAGAGTTCAAGGCCCAATTGGATAATTTGCCCTACTTTATAGGTTAAAGTTTTCGTACGCTTAGATCTATTACTACAATTTACAAATCATTACATGTATCCCAACAATCAAACGATACATTTTTTTTTTTTTGCTTAATATGCCATTTATCAAATTGACACCCTTGAAATTGATTGTCATTCCCTTAGTAGTCATAAATTTGAGATTTCTTTTGTCTTAAAGAATGAGAAGGATCATATGAGAAATAAAAAAGTTAGACGTACGAAAATTACTTAGACAAGGAACAAATACCCCCCCCCCCCTAGACACTAAACTACAAGTTCTATTATGGTGCCGAACTCAATAATGCAGAATATCCATCATTATTGACACTTTAAGAATTTGGATTAAGTTTTTATTTACGGTCAATGTAGTAGATTTTGTCATTGTAATAGATTTTTTACATTAATAGATATAAATGTATGTCATTTATGTAAAAAGTGAATTTAAAATTAGATTACGTAATATGCATCTACACCCCTTGTATATACATTAACAGTGCATAAAAAAATAATCTAAAATTTACCTTGAACCATGCCCAATTCTCACAATTGTTAAGCTTATGTCAAGTAAACAAGTTACAAATACAAAATTTTTATAGTGTCATCACTAAATTGGATGAAACCAACTCTACTCCTATAGTAGTTGGTCACCAAGAGAGTTTTAAATCTCTATTTGGGTGTAGGTAAATTATTTAAACTTTAAATCTCTTGACCTGCATTCTTAAAATCCGAGTTTTTTTGGAGATTTTGTCAACGGGTGCACGGACACCTGTTTGGATTTGTTGTGGTTCAGTTCCCTCCCACTAGGTCTAGAATATATTCTACCATGTTTGAAAAATAAACACTAAATTGGATGAAATTATTAACTAGAGTATTTGCAATTTACCCTGAAGTGAAGTAAAATTGCAAAAGAGAGAAAGAAATGCTAGAAGAGAGAGAGCCAAATGGTAGAAACGCCGGAGAAAGTTCCAAATTCCAATCCACGGATTCACAAGAAACGCTGCTGCCTTCGCTGCAATGTGAAAACAAAAGCCTGCTTACCACTGACGGCAGCATATGTATGTAAAAGGTGTAACCGAAGGCACCATCCCCACACACCCATCCGAAGCTCCCCATCCGTTTCTACTTCCCCACCTCTCTCTTCACGTGCTCATCATCCGGTTATCATGTGACACCCCTTCCCCAGCTCCCTCTCATAACCCCCACCCAACATATTCCAAACCAAACTGCACTCAGTTCCCCAATCATCACTCAGCAAAAGCCCCCACCCCACCCTTATACTGTTCCCTCTTGGACACACAACACACACAAAAACCACATACACAAAAAGGGGACAATCATGGTACCGGTTAGCTGACTCTTCTTCCTTTTCATTGACCTGCAAAGAAACAATCCCTCATGCTTTAACTGAAAAGAAAAGGAAAAAAAAAATCCCCATTTCAGTTCTTTGAAAACCCAGGTGGGACTTGGGAGGGTGAGTTACAAGTGAGAACGGAAACAAGGGATTCAGCTGAGTGTGAAGAAGTGTGTGTGTTTTTCTTTCTTGAGGTGTGTGTTTGGTCTATGTGAGCATTGAAAAAATGGGCTGTTTTCAGTCCAAAACTGCCAATGTTCAGTCCCCTGACCAAGAACCCTCTCAGCCCGACTCCAAACCAGATCTTGGTATCACATTTTTACTCAATTTTTTTTCCTTTTGTTTTCTTCAGTCTTATTCCTGTTATTTAATATCTACTTTTCTGGAGTTTCATGAACCTGTAGCCAAGATTCATTTTTCTCTATCTATCTCCCTCCCTCTATCTCTTTTTTGGTGGGCTTTTTTTGGGGTTTGATGTATGAGCTACTTGCATGTTGAATTTTGGTTAAAATTTAAACTTTGATAAGGGTGTTATAGCATCTATTCGGTCAATTGTCATTTTCTTAATTATCTTTTTTTTTTTTTAATTTTGTGGTAAGTTGTTTGCTTCGGTTTTATGTACATGTATGATGTGTTCATTTTTTCTTTTTTTAATTTCTATTTTCGGGTCTTTCATAAATGCTTGCAATTATTTAGGAGTTTTTTTTCCATTATTTTTGGATGATTGACTGATATTTGACGTAAAAACTGCCCTATTTTTGTTTATCTCACATGTACGAGAGTTATGTAATTTAATTTCTTTTTTTAGTAGTTTTGCTTATTGATTACTACTAACATGTTCCTAAAAGAAATACTTGTTAAATTTGGGTATTGGTGTCTTTGTTTGCTTGATACATTGATATACTTAGAAATGGAAATGTTATCATTTGTGTCGACCAACCTAATTTTTTTTTTTTGGCCGTGTCATTGTATATTTAATGACGGTGAAGTTAATGGGGACCAAATAGACCAAGATCAAGTACCTGTTTTTAAGGAATTTGGTCTTGCTGAACTCCGAGCTGCTACAAATGGGTTCAGCAGTGAATTGATAGTCTCTGAAAGTGGAGAGAAAGCTCCCAATGTTGTTTACAGAGGAAAGCTTCGGAATAACCGGCTTGTTGCCATTAAGCGTTTCTCAAGACAGTCCTGGCCTGACCCCCAACAATTTGTGGTAAATATTATTGTTCAGTTTGACAGCTAGATTCATTAGCTTGTAAAATTATCTGATGATGTTCGCGTATGTCACACTGAAAGAGAAATGCAACAACTATTCTAGTTTGATGACCAATTCACATTGTATAGCTTTAAGAAATAGCATTTCTTTGAGACACATCTTGGTTACTGCATCTCACTTTGGGGAGCTGACACCATCTTATTTTTGGGGTTCCTGTTATAGTAAGATTGTTTGGCCAACAATAATGTTTATCTACTATAATCATAAAATGGTTGTGAATGTGACTGCATGTGTACTGCTAACGTAGATTTCTCTCTAAAATAGTAAATAGTTCAAAAGTTTGTGTTGTTATATCTTGGTTTATGATATTTTCTTCACACAATACAAGTTTGTCTTATTTTGTCATTCATGGTGCTGGATTTTTACCCCTTGTCATCTAATGGCCCATAGTTGTTACAGTTGGAAGTATTCGTTATCTAACAGCTAATGTGACCCTCCGGCTTTTGTTTTTTTAGTTCTTGAAGATGTTTGAAGTTATCAGTAGTGTCTATTGCTACGCTTGGGATAATTCTGGGTTATGGTTTCATGTGTCTTATCAACTAGTTGGCAGTCAATCATTATATTCGTACTTGATGTTCTATTGGTATCAATTTTCTGACCTACCCTCCCTATGTGTAAAATTTTCCTAGCCTTTTCCTACCATACATTGTGGTCTTTATACTGCTTTTGCTGTGCTCCTCATGCAGGCAGAAGCTGCTGGTGTTGGCAAGCTTCGGCACAAGAAATTGGTGAATCTTATAGGATGTTGTGCTGAGGGAGATGAGCGATTGTTGGTCGCAGAATATATGCCTAATGATACACTGTCAAAGCATCTATTTCACTGTAAGGTTTATTGAATTTTGCCTCGTGATCCTACTTTAGTAGATTTCTTCTTGAAACTATTCAGTATATCTGAATCTTTTTACCACCATTGCCAGAATGGAAGTAATGATGGGTGATTGTAAAAAACTGTGGTCAATGCCTCACACACAGAAAAATGTTAAATCATGCATTAGTAGTCATTTATAGGAAAAGAAATCACAACCTTTTTTTTGGCTTATCTTTTATCGTGGGCATCAATATCATTTGTCAACTGAATATTGGAATGGGTGTGTAAACTTCACATTCTACTGTGTCTTTTGTTGGACTTTCATGATCTGCATAGCTACCCTTTCTTTCATCGAGAATGTTCTTTCCTGAGCTGCTTATCTTCTTTAAGTTGGCACGTGAACAGCTTATGTAAATATATTCCTTTATATGTTGTTCCCCTTGAAGAGTTGTCGTCCAGTATTTTGCTTACCCTCTTTGTTCTCCTTAGGCAGCTGATTAACTAATCAAACTGAGCACAAGGATAGCACTATAAATTGTTCTTATGGCTCTGTAATCCCATCTACAAATCTTCCTTTGCTCAGGCCAGCCTCTCTGTATAAGGAACAAGCAACTCTCTTGCTAGATCTGCATCCTTCAACTAATATGCTGTTGCAAATGTTATACCTGAATTTGCATGGCTATTGGTGCTCTTTTTTCTTTTTTTTTTCCCACATGATTTTGATTATGATAGTATTTTTTGCTTAATTTATTTGGCAGCCTCTGGTTATTCACCCATAAGTTCATGTGTTTTTTGCAGGGGACAAACAGCCTCTGCCATGGGAAATGCGTGTTAGAGTTGCTTACCATATTGCCCAGGCTCTTGACCATTGCATTGCAGAAAACAGAAAAATTTATCATGATTTGAATGCGTACAGGGTTCTTTTTGATGAGGTAGCTAGCCTGACCAGCTTGGAAGGATTTTAGGTTTACCTTGGAAAGCAATTTGCTAGATGTTGGTCTATGTACCATATAGATGAGAAGAGTTATATGCAAAGCTGCAACTCTTCTATATTAATTAAAAATATTCTATCCTCAAAATATTCAAATTTGGTGCTGAAGAATTTTCTATTAGACTTACTATGGTGATTGAAATAAGGAAACCGAAATGAGTGAGTATGTTTTAAGTCCTTTAAGTTCCATGATGCTTTTGGATAACGAGTGTTTCTTGGATGTTGTAAATGAATCTAGTGGTTTCTATTTGCATAAATGAGATCTGCATTATGATACATCCAACTATTTCTTCCCCCTTCCCACTATCCTCTGAAAAGACATGACATTAGCACCAAGAAAAAGGAAACGAACAAGTTAGCCCGTTTCAATAATAACAGTGTTCCAGTTTTGGTACTTGAATTGTTTCATATAAAGTTTTGTATGGAACGCTAATAAGTTTTCTGGAGAAAATGGATGATAGCTCTGTATACATGGTGCATTAAGAAGTGTCCATCAATCTATTTGAAATGAAATAAGATGGATGGTAGACTTTTTATGCCGCTATGCTTTCAAATTACATTCAAACTGGAGTATTGTAAATTAAATAAGTGCAATTCCATTTATGTTTCTTGTCACATTTTAGGAATCTGTAGTAGAATAGTGTACCTTATTATATTAACTAGGGAATATATTCCCCAGAGAAAAACTAGTGGTCTTGATATCACAGTAAGAAGAATGAATATTGCTTCAATTTTGACTTCATCCACATTTCTATTCTAGGATACATACTATAATCTGTTTCAACAAGTGAACATGGTAGTGTCAGTTGATTGTTTTGGGTGAGCATCCCTTACATGTGATCATTCTTTTCTTGATCAGGATGGCGATCCTCGGATATCTAGTTTTGGTCTTATGAAGAACAGCAGAGATGGGAAGAGTTATAGTACCAACCTGGCTTACACTCCACCTGAGTTTTTGCGCACTGGTATAGTTTTAACCACTTGTATGGGCCTCCTGCAGTTCCTTTTGTGATGTATACAAATTAGTTCTGCTTTGCTTTTGCCCTTTTCTTTTGGGTTTGTCTTGACGATCTTGTCCCTTTTTTTTGGGTGGTTGATGTACTTGTTCAAATTAGAGCATGGATTTTATCCATGTCTTGTCACTTTGAGATAAATGTAGGTTTGGATTTGCGATACTTTGATCTTCTACCTAGCTTCTATGTGATCTGGACCTGGATCTTTTACCATGCAGCATAACTTCACCTGTTTAACTGGTTGTGAAGCACCACAATTAGTATTCTGCCATGTGTTTTTTCAGATTGTTATGTGTATGTGAATTCTCTCGTCGTGTTGCAACTATTATTGCCATCAATATTTATTTTCTTACTCATCCGAAAAATAAGTGTATTTAACTACCATAAGGGAGTGTGGCTTGGTTGTGTAGTGCTGTCTCTTTGTTCTAATGATCTTCAATGATGTTTGGGAACAATGAAAAGTACAGTTCTGGAAGTTATTCTTTCAAAAGTGTGTTTAAAAATTTTTGAATGAATCTCGTACGGGTAGAATTTAACTAGATCAGCACTTTTATATAAGCCACCACACGGTTTTAATCCTTTAGAGTATATCCTTGATAGGACAAGGGATTTATTCAGACATGAATTCAGATTTGAAATAGGTATGATTAGTAGTCAGATTAGTTTCTTGTAATTCAGTGAGCTTTCATCTCAAGAATTGAGGAATAAATATTCTGATACTCTTCATGTGTACCTTTCAGCACTGTTGTTATGCTTTGAGTTTGTCCCATTTCTGACAAGTGTTCTCAGCAATATATGTATTTTGTTTGTTTTCCTTTTCATTTTTTTTTAATGCTTCACTGATTTCTTTACCAAATTATCTTTCCAATACAATTGACTATTTGTTTGTGGCTCTAAGCGAATCAGCATATCTTATTTCATCATCTAGAGTTGTCCACTCGTGTTAGGATGGAGTAATGCCTCATAATATCCATAAAGACAAAAATATGCTGTCTTTGACAGAGTATCTTATTTTGATATCCTATCCAACTGTTGTTTAACTATTACTCTTGCCTAGCCTTTTATGTAGCTTACTTTACTTCCTTTAATTTTCCCAGGTAGGGTAATTCCGGAGAGTGTAATATACAGTTATGGAACCGTTCTGCTAGACCTTTTAAGTGGAAAACACATACCTCCTAGCCATGTACGTAAATCCTCATTCCATGTTCTATCTTCTCCTCTTTTACTCTTGGCTTGTAGAAGAATCATTTATGAGCCTATCATGCTTTGGTTTCATGTTATATTGTTAAAAAGTTACTGTAATCTGTAGTTGTTGCCATAGAGATGCATCAAATTTGGTCCTTAATTCTTTTGATGAATAATTTATATTAAATGTACATGTTGTAACTTCTTTTTTCTCCAAAATTAGCTTCCTTAAATGAGAATGCTTGGAAATGTTTTTTCTATCTTGTCATTGGGCTTGCCATCCAATGCAATAGCTTGCTGTTTTCTTTAGCGTTTCATGAAAATTTGGCTTTGTGCAAGAGATTCATACTTTTATCATCTTTTTCTGATGTTTGTATTATTCTGTTGGATATCCAGCATATCATTGTTGTTCTGAAGTATGGATTTATATGGACATAAGCTTTAAGATATTGAGAAGGCCGTCATTCATGCTTTTGCATAGACTTTCTGGCATACCTTAATTAAAGTAACTTATCCATGCTTTTGCATAGACTTTCTGTTACAGCTTAACTAAAGCAACTTATTCATGCTTTTGCATAGACTTTCTGGTATAGCTTAATTAAAGTAACTTCGACATCTGATAGTCCAGCAGTTATTCATCTTTTTTCTTCCTTCTTGTTTTTGCTTCTCCTTTTTGTTGTAGGATTGGCATTACAAATGACAAATGAACTAATTGTGTAAGATTCACATACTTGTGAGTTAAGAATGATAATGTAGGTGAACTGGAGCACAAAAGCGAAACCTGAAGTGATGAAGTAAGAATTACAGATTTGTTTGCTAGTGTAAACTATTCAGGGTCCTCAATATGTTTCCCTTGCTATAGAGTTCAGGTGCATGTTGAGCACCCAGGAGGGGTAAATAGTGGAAGGAAAGAAAGGTAGCTCTGATGAGTATGGGATCCAAGTTTTAGCTTTTCAGAAGCATCAGTATTGTTGCATCCATATTTCAATCTGATTTCTGTTAGATTTTTTATTCCTAACTTGTATCCTTTTTGCTTAACTGGCCTTTTCCACATCATTTCTCCAGGCTTTGGATTTGATAAGAGGTAAGAATGTGTTGTTACTCATGGATTCATCGTTGGAAGGACAATATGCCAATGAAGATGCTACTGCATTGGTGGAACTGGCATCAAAGTGTCTCCAGTACGAGGCTAGAGATAGACCTGACATAAAGTTTCTTCTTTCAGCAGTGGCGCCCCTTCAAAAACAGGAGGAGGTAGGCCTATCGAGCATTAATTTAGTTGCTAAATACTAGATTTTCTCATATAATTAATATCTTAATCTAAGATTTAAGCATTTAAATAGATTTTCTCTCCTTTGCTTTTGGCATTCGTAGGTTACCTCACATGTTTTGATGGGTCTGACAAAGACTCCAGTGGTACTGCCTACCATGCTTTCTCCTCTTGGAAAGGCTTGTACAAGGATGGACCTTACTGCTGTGCATGATATCTTGCTTAAAACAGGTTACAAAGATGAAGAGGGTGCAGAAAATGAGGTGAGTTGCAGTCAGAAAATCTTGATTCAGGATACTCAAAACCTAACTTCATTTACTGGACTTCTTGAACCAACGGTGAATGCCCGTTGTTTTTATCCTGTTATGATATGTCCAAATGAAATGAAAATTATTGGGCTTAGGTGTTTTCTCTAATCTGGCCTAGCACGCTTACTTTTTATTGGATTTTTATGGCAATACAATCTTTGTAAAGCTTTCATTCCAAGAATGGACACAACAAGTGCAAGACATGTTGAATACGAAGAAATTTGGTGACATAGCATTTAGGGACAAGGACTTCAAGAGTGCGATCGACTATTACTCAAAGGTATGTGAATTATGCAAGACATGTCTGCATTCAGCCAATTGTTAACTTCTCTCCTGGAAGCAGCAAAGTCCCATGTATTATTGTGGACATCAGTATTTGGTGGGATAAAAAACAGAGATAAATTAGAACCAATGAAGTTAATCAATCTCTGCTTGTAGCTTATCACTTTTTAAAATGCTATCAAACTTGTACCGAAAACATTTATGCTAATTTGCAAGCTTGTATTTAATCCACTACACCACGAGTTAATTGGCTTTTTCCTGGCTTGCCATATAGATGTTTTCGAGGAATTTTTAATGTTCTTGACTACTGCACTGTCCTCAAAATGATAAGAGTGACTACGATGTTTGTTGATCTAACGGTATGATTTGATTTATCAGATACCTAGCTTTTGGGAAGTCAGTGCCATTCATCTTACTGTATGGGTGTAGGAAGAGGATTATCATGCAGGTTGAAATAGAAAGAATAGAAAGAAGGCTTCTTTATTCAATCGACTTAGCGATTACCTACTTTAAAAACCGGAGGTCTAGCTGAATTAATGTTAGCGTAGTGAGTAAATTTCGTCTATCCCTTTTGCCTTACATAATGTTTAAATCAAATAAAATGCCTGGACATGTATTGACACGACAGGTCTCAAACTGTGCACTGCTGGGGAATGGTAACTAGGATAGGTTGCATAGACTGCTAAGTTGACCTCTAGATTTACTCCATGAAACATACGGACGTGTTGCACTTTGCTTCTATTTGCCCTTACTTATGTGCCTCCACCTTTAAAGCGAAACAATATAGTGCAGCTACTTATTTGACATGATCGTTGCTTCTCTAAATTAGTGGGCAAACATGGGACTCATTGTTAGTGTGACACTGAGAGTGATGTGAACCAGGATATATGAATCGCATGTGTTCTTGTCTGTACAACTTCAACCTTCATTTTTCAGGAACGTGTTGGGTTTGCACCTCCCTTTTGTTGATGAATAACATTGCCAATTATTTGGAGTTTAATCCTAATTCATTTTTTTCTCACCTTAAATACAGTTGGTGTCCATGATGTCTGTTCCTTCTGGTACTGTCTTTGTGAGGCGAGCTCTATCCTACTTGATGATTGGACAGCCAGAGCTTGCGCTGAGAGATGCTATGCAGGCACAGGTTTGCTTGCCTGAGTGGCCTACTGCCTTCTACATGCAGGCTCTTGCCCTATCTAAACTTGGAATGGAAACTGATGCCCAAGACATGCTGAATGATGGTGCCTCCTTCGAAGCTAAGAAGCAAAACAGTTGGCGCATCTAGATCGTAGCACGATGATGAGAATCACAATTTCCTATCAATTGATTTAAGTTATAAATTTTAGGGATTGGATCAGGATTTCCTCCGGTTGGATATCCAATTCGGTGAGGATAACTTGAAAAGTTAATTGCCTGTCTGTTGTAGCAACATAGTTCCATATAGAAATGTATAAAACACTCCCTGATTGCGAAAAGCTTAGTGCTAGTTACTGACACCTGCATTTGCATTAGCTCTCTTGCATTGCATAACCATGTGATGCACCAATCTTAATCCATCATAAAATGCATGCTACTACTACTTACTCAAGAGTTTGGTTGACCTAACCTAGCTAGGTATTTAGCTGCCCCCTTGAGAACTCTTGGTGGTGAAGAAAGCCATTCGATACAACGCTAAATCAACAAGGAAAGAGTTATGCATAAGTGTACATTTAAAGCACGTGGGTCTCAAACACGCTCTATTTGGACTAGCTGTTTTTTGGAGATATTTTTGAAAAATTTTATTGTAGTTTAAAGTACGTAGGTCTCAAACACATGCTCTATTCGGACTAGTTGTTTTTTGGAGATATTTTTTGAAAAATTTTACTGTAGTAGTAGTATATATGAAAATTTTTTTGAAACATTTGATATATTATATGAATGATATGTTTTTTGAGTTATTATGTATTATTGTAACATTGTATTTTTGAAAATTTTGTTTTTGAAAAAATGGCCAATCCAACGGAGCCAAACCCAGGAGTCCTAATTGATTACATTCACTTGTTCATGGCATATGTGCATCTTTATTGTTTTGAAACAGAACCAGTGAAGTAAATGGGAAAAAAGGGTGTGTCTGCATATTCTGTTTTAATGCAAATGCAGGAATCATACTATTTTGTTTGGGGCCATCTTGAAGTTTGCGTTGATGAATTGACTAAGCCTAAACGGCAACAGTTGTAGGGTAGAGTGAAGGACGTTGTAGCAGTAGCTGTGAAGGGATGCGGGAAACAGTACCTGAGAGGTGCTTTTAACATCCAAAACTTTTACTTATGAGTTGTCTCATAGTTATTACATCTCTGGCTCAGTTTTTTTTTTTTCGAAACGTTAGCGTCATCTCTGGCTCAGTTGCTTTCCAAAAAGATCCCAATGAAACTATAAGGAAATGTCTTTCAAAAAGGTCACCAGTAGAGATGCCTTAGGTTTCAAAAAGCTGGGGCAAAACGTTAGGTGGAGAGTCAAAAAGGTTGGCCAAAATGTTAGGCCGATTGTAAAAGGTACAGGCACCGCCGAACAAGCACCTGAATCCTACTTTTGAAAAGATCACGTTTCTGAATCTAATGCTTAGATTACTGATGCAGGTGATAGAAGAACAGATAATTTGTCACTTCATGCATGCTAGTAGGAAAAAACTTTACAAATGGGACAGCCCACCAGCCTTGCATACCAGCCATGTGGTAAATAAAGGGAATCACGTTAAACACCTTTGAACTAGAGCATGCTTCCCAAAAAGCTCTCTCTTAGGCACTTGGAAAGGATGAAATAAATATTTGTGTGTGTAAAAATCCTAAACATCTTTTAGGCTTATGATCGCTGCCTACTCATAAATAGTTTCCCCAAAATGTAGTAAGAATGGCGGCCTTCTTAGTTACTTACGGCTACCTGATTAAAATCCCTACTACCGCGTCAGTCGAGTTTCGAGTTTCCAGCATTTGCATTTATTCAGGGAATAACTACAAGCCAGAATTTGTTACCAAGATTATGCATCCGGTCCATTTAGATCGATGTTAATTGCATGAAAATTCGATGTAAAACTCATAACCTTTGTTACAGATGAATCATTTGATTCAAAGATAGTGTACACTACTTAAAGACATCCAAGCACTTGCTATCCAACAGCCCATTCTGCTTCCTTTCTTGATGTTGAATATTCAAACACGAACAAGATTGTCAGTATGTGGATAGTTATTTTTGATTAATCGGTCATATTCCATTAATAGAAGTCATGGTCACGAGTCATGAGCTTCGTGCTCCATGGCTTTCAACTCTGTCATTCTAGGATCAATCCAGATACATGCAGAGTCATCAAACACATTCAGCCTTGCATATATATCCATAGACTTTGATACTTATTATGACCATTTATCTCCAATCTCACAGGTTTAACGTCAATGATGATAACTTGAAAGATGTGCTAGCACCATATTCATTTATTTAGACTTTGATGAAGTGATAATGAAGTGTTTATCCACCGCACAGAGCCAAGAGGGAAGATGGAGACACGTTTGAAAATTGAAAGTCTGCATAGATTCCCAACAATCTAAGTTTGAAAAATCTTCATCTACAAGTTGCTTGAAGATATGGTGGCTGCCAGTTGATAAGCACTCAAGCGTTTTTGGTTTTCTACATTAAGATATTTGGACCTGCTTATATTTTTCTCACATGATTATCGTTTTGTTCCGACCTTTATAGGGTTGATAAGCAGCAAAAATAGCTGAGCCGTGAATGAATTGAATACGAGGAATTGCTTTTCAATTTTCTTTCCCCTTGAAAACTTGCAATTTGCTGGACTCCAAGTCCAACCTACCCAACTTTGATTTGATTTTCCTTTCCTTCGATAATGACACATTATTATGTCGACTTTTATTTCTTTCTTCTTATGTCATGCATGAGACACGAGCTCTCTCAGTTTTACTCCCCATACCATGCTATCGACAGCTTTTGTTGATCTTTTATATACCTTAAAAAGATATTTTGTTACAACTTTTCCTATTACACTTTTGTCATATGTGTTCCACGAAATAATAGATAAGAATTCAAATCTTTATATATCATACCTTGGTAATTAAAGATACGGTAAGACACTTGATTGTCACTCAAAAAGGTTATGAAACAGAGCGTGTCACACAGATAAATTATAAAACAGAACATCTCGGGCCATCTTATACATCATTCATTCAAGTTGTGTAAATATTGGCAGACTATTAGATTATCTGCTTTTTGCGGAATTTAAACTTTTCCGATAATTGTTAAATTTCTTTATGTAAAAAACAAACAAAAGGAAAAGAATATAGGGCCCATGAAGCCCTCAATGTGGAATTTCTTCTTTTCTGATGTGATATTCAAATTTGGTAACTTCTGTCCAACACTACATATGGTTGGCCATTTGGAAAGAAGTCCAAATCTTCTTTCGGACTGAGAAGGACAAGTGCCGCCAGAATTGTGGCAAGGTCCTGAGTACAGCTTTTGTGGAGAATGAAGACGAGACAACTTGGTAAGCTCATGGGTCAACATGGAAACAGGAAGGGGGCGCAATGCCTAGTCTAATATGGCACACATTAATGGGAATATAGTGATTAGCGAGAAGATAAAGAATTTCAATTTCTCCATATAACTCTTGCTATATATCAAGTTATCATTAGATACATTGAAAATTCAACTCACTTGATCCGTTTGTCCAATATTGAATTTGTTCTATTTTTTTTCCCACTTGTATACTTTCTTAGAGTTCAAAATTTACTGATTTTAGGGCCAGTTACCATGTAAGCATTTCAACTTTTAAAGGGCCTAATTAATTCAAGCGCCAATAATCACACAAAAATCTATTGGTATAAATGCAAATGGTCATATGTGTCAATAGGAACATATAATTCGACAAGAATACAAAGCATATACACTGAAATTCACTTATCCCACTTATATAGGTACATGTATTCAATTTTTTCATGTGCATGCAGGATTGGACTGGCCGGTCAATAGAGGAGTTCAACTGCTGGTGAAAAGAAAAGAGTAATAATGTTCATTTGGGTATTTTACAATGGTAGATCCACTGTTATGCTTCCAGATTATCATCCATTCACTGGATTGCAATAATTTTGTCCAAAAAAAAAAAAATTATCTTTTCACAAAAAAAAAAAAAAAAAAAAACTGGACCCATTTCCTATTTTGTGTCAACATTGACAAAACCTTGTTATAAATTGGAAAGTACCCTATGATATTGAATTGTATAGACAACCGAAAAGTTAGGCATTTTGTCTGTATTTTGCTTCATAAATTGGATGAAACTATGACTCGGTGGCGTGCACTTGGGATCCTCGGTGACATGTTTTCTATGCCAATTCAATGCCACTAATAGTATTGTGCCAAGTGTCATGTTATTATTTACACTTTAATTTTCTAATAATTTAAATTGGCTTGATTTAACACAAGTGTAAATAATAACATGACACTTGACGCAATACTATTGGTGGCATTGAATTGGCATAGAAAACATGTCACCGAGGATTTCAAGTGCTCTGCGTGTGGCCAATAATCATCGAAGAAGTTAGCGAAAGTTGGCCACGGCTCTTTACCATGAACGACGTAGCAATCAATCGTTATATAAATGTCCAAGTGATGAGGGGGATATAAGTAGGTTTTTCCACTTGTAATTATGACGCGTACGAACAATTACGTGTAGTTTTATCATCCTTAAAGTGACATCTCGCTCATCATATTGGTCATTGAAGGTCACACATCTCACACAATTGTCATTGAATGTTCTCTCCAATGTATCATAATTGAAGGAATGTTGATGGGACATTATGTATTGAATTTTGAATGTTTCTTAGGGTGCCCTAATGGGCATTCACTGTGATTCCATGACATTTTCTCGAATTGATTAATTTTTTTTAAAGAAAAATTAACACCTAAATTCCCTCTTAGCGAGTGTGCAATAGGTACTTTATAAGCATAAAAATTATCATTTTGTGGGTTTGATCTGCTCGGGTTACACGTATTTATGAAATGAATTGCCGTAATATATAATTTTGACAAATAACACTTTGTACAAGATAAAGCTCTTTCAGGCAAGTAAATCTAAAAGTTGACAGAAGCCTAATACTTCTCATCATCTCATGCCATTGAATTTGGCAGCCTCATTGAATTGGCTTCTTTTAACCCTTTTCTCCCAACACACGTACATGTATATGTGGCTTTATTATTGGGGGTTGAAACATGAAAGTAGTAAAACAGATTGCAAGAAAGCTCATTAAAAGTAGTAAAACTAAATGCTGACGAGGATAAGTTGACAAAGAGCATCCATTTCACAATATTATATCTAGAGTCTAGTTTATTTCCTTGGAATTAAGTATTTTTAGGCAAGTTTTTGAGGCCACGAATATTAATCTTGCATGCCAGAACCACTTAAAAAAGTTCACAGTTGACAAGAAATCCAAAGAAGTCAAATCTTGATACGTGATGAATTAATTTGTTC